AAACACAAATTCTAATTGCTATAACAAACTTTGTCTCGAATTTCATAGAGCAGCAAATGTCAGCGACACGTCTCGTCCCCAAAGATAAAATTTCGTCAAAAGCTCGCAGGAACAAAAGGGTTAAGGGATTAGAAACGGTGTCTTAATTAATTTTACTAGTCACCGTCGATTTCTTTATTCTCGAATGTTGAATTCAGAGGAAAGTTTGCTCTTTGATAGTGTTGAGATTGAATAGAGGTATGCCGAGTTCAATCGATTCCCACCATAAACCATAAGCATGGGGAGATCGTTGGACGTAACACGAAACGAAATTAGTTACCGCAAATACGAGGCGTGCATCTTCCGCGTCGATATAAACCAATAAAAGCGTGTAACGTAATCCTGATTGGCGGAGTGCTTATAACACCGGGTAACATTATACCCCGAAACTCTCTCCCGTTAGGTTTTCCCTGGGTGACGCGAGGCTGGCCAGCATCCGTGAGGCCGCGCGATTCCATTACGTTTCTCGCGATGGTGTCGGGTTCACGGGTTTTGGACAATTAGGACGATCCGTTGACAGAAGATTTCCTCACCTCGATGCGATAATCTTACTTTAGACATCTCAGATTATTCTAATTCTAAGTTTGTAGGAAACTCTTTTAGTGCTCTTCGATCCTTTTTATTCATTTTGGAATGGTGGATTTCTGATACTTTTTTTTGTCTCGAAAAGTGAATTTCTGAAGCTTTCGTTGCCCAGAATAGTGAATTTCTGATACTTTTATTGCCCCAAAAAGTGAATTTCTTATAGCTCTTGCAACTTTTTTATCAATTTTCTATCGACTCAAATAGACTCCAATTTCTGAAGCTTTCGTTGCCCCGAATAGTGAATTTCTGATACTTTTATTGCCCCAAAAAGTGAATTTCTTATAGCTCTTACGTCTTTTTTATCAATTTTCTATCGACTCAAATAGACTCCAATTTCTGAAGCTTTCGTTGCCCAGAATAGTGAATTTCTGATACTTTTATTGCCCCAAAAAGTACATTTCTTATAGCTCTTACGTCTTTTTTATTAATTTTCTATCGACTCAAATAGACTCCAATTTCTGAAGCTGTCATTGCCCCGAATAGTGAATTTCTGATACTTTTATTGCCCCGAAAAGTGAATTTCTTATAGCTCTTGCAACTTTTTTATCAATTTTCTATCGACTCAAATAGACTCCAATTTCTGAAGCTTTCGTAGCCCAGAATAGTGAATTTCTGATACTTTTATTGCCCCAAAAAGTGCATTTCTTATAGCTCTTACGTCTTTTTTATCAATTTTCTATCGACTCAAATAGACTCCAATTTCTGAAGCTTTCGTTGCCCCGAATAGTGAATTTCTGATACTTTTATTGCCCCAAAGAGTGAATTTCTTATAGCTCTTGCATCTTTTTTATCAATTTTCTATCGACTCAAATAGACTCCAATTTCTGAAGCTTTCATTGCCCAGAATAGTGAATTTCTGATACTTTTATTGCCCCGAAAAGTGCATTTCTTATAGCTCTTGCATCTTTTTTATCAATTTTCTATCGACTCAAATAGACTCCAATTTCTGAAGCTTTCACTGCCCAGAATAGTGAATTTCTGATACTTTTATTGCCCCGAAAAGTGAATTTCTGAAGCTTTCGTTGCCCAGAATAGTGAATTTCTGATACTTTTATTGCCCCGAAAAATGAATTTTTGATCCTTCTTGCACCTTTTTATATTAATTTTCGCACAGTGAATTTCTAATACTTTCATTGTCTCGAATAGTAAATTTCTAATGTTTCTATTGCCCCAAAAGTGAATTTCTACTCTCTCCCGAATCTTTCTCATTAATTTCATATTAACTCAAGCAGACTGGAATTACTAATACTTTCCTTACCCCGAACAGCGAATTCCTCCTACTTTCAAGCCCGAGGAAGGCTATTACGCATCCAATAGTGGACACAAGAGTGATCCATCAAGAAACAAAGCAGATAGCTCAATCGTCTGAGCGACAGGATTCGAGGGCAGCCAATCCTCCTTCGCCGAGCTGTACCAGCAGGGAGAGAAGCGCTCTCAATCTCCGCTCTCGATCCTGGTTAACCGAATGGCCTCGCGGAGCAACGCTCCCCAGATCGTCTGTACCAATTAACACCGACCGCGCTCACGAGCACACCTAACGGGCAGCGCGCGCTACCAATAAACCCATCCTCGCATAAAATACGAACCGATGTCATTAATCTCAATAGCGAGGCTGAGGCTGGTAATTAACGCGGCCACCAAGGCCGAGAATGGTACACTCGTCGTCAAAAACCATCGTCTACAATCGCAGAACACCTAACTCACGGTTAAGAAGATGAAAACGGGGGGGAGAAAAAATAAATATCGAGATCGTCGATCGCAGAGGAATTATTGAAAGGAAATAAAAAAGATAAGGCGAGGGGGTTGGAAAGGTAAAATGTTGGTGGGGTGATTGGCGTAATTCGTGAAACATGAGACCATCGAAGAGAAATAAGCACGGTAAATCAGAGAAGTTTGGTAAGGGTGGAAAAGTAGCCTGAGCGAAATTATATTTACCCTTGGTGCTTTGGTCCGAGGGATATATTATTTTGGGGGAGACACTTGCTAGGATTCCGCGGATACGGAATCCATAGTGATTCGGGGGCGATAGAAATTCGATAGCAATTTTTCTCCGCTCCGTGGGTTTCGTTTAATTCGATTAATAAACGAACGAATAAAGAATGTGAGTGTGGGATTGAAAAGGCAAGCATCGTTTGAAGGTAAACGGAAATTCAAAATCTTCGCCATTCTGAGTAACTTTTGAAATATTAAAAATTTCAATTTTTTACTATTTTCATTCCATGGAAAGTATTGATAGATTTATTTAATTTCCAAAATAATTAAAGCTAACTTATCATTCTGAGTAACTTTTGAAATATTAGAAATTTAAAAATTTTGCTATTTTTCTTTGGTGGAAAGTATTAACCCTTTCGCAGCGGTATATTTTAGTCTTAAAATTTAATTCTCATTGTAGCGTTTCAAAATTAGAAAAAAATTTTTAAATTTATCATTTGTAAAGTTCTTTCAGTAAATTAAGTTTGAAGTGCGCAAAGGACAAAAATTAATGATTAAATTAAAGTGAAAGCGCGCCATCAGCAGTGAAAGGTTTACTAACTGTATTCAACTTCCAAAATAATTCTTTTTCAATTTCTGACCTCTGAAGTGCCTAAAAACGTGAAATAAAAATCTCCAAAATGTTATTCTTCCTTAAATTTTGCAACCTAGGTTCAAAACTATGATAAAAATTTAAGTTTCTCTAAAGTTTCGTCCGAGAGTAAAATCATTAAGGAAAATCCCTGAAAGGGACGTTTCGGGTGGCAGTTAACATTTCCTCCGGCAAAAATTCCCCGCGCACAGACAATACGCGATAATCTGAGGAGGAATTCTGCTAAGACACCGGTTGAGAACGGTCCAGAGTCAAGGTAGAATTGATTTAGAGCCGGTGGTATCCGGCGAGGCGACGCCGGCGCCGATAAATCAGGACGAAAAGCAATTTAAACCGGTACAGAGTCCGATCATCGTGACCCAGGCGCAATACCGCCGGCCGGATTCCCCGTGTTGGCATAAGTTTTCATTTGCACCGGCCCGCTAACGAAGTCTTCGACGATAAATTCGCTTTTCCACGCCGGCTAATCCCGTTTCGCTCCGCTACGAGCCTTCGACCGGAAGCTCAACGAGGACCCTCTCTACCACGCAACCTGAATTAAGACGTATCTCTACCAGTTTTGTTCCCGCCTCCTTCTGCTACCTTCTGCCACAGCAGAGTCCACGATTTTCTCGATAAATTCCGCGAGGAAAATGGGCTAGCGATACCTCGCCTCCGAAATTGCCGGAGATTTGTTCCGGCTCGATCGCCTAAGCGGATTGGAACGAATGGAGCCTGCTGTTTCCAAGCTGATCCCGATGCAGTTGATCGAGAACACCGGCTGGATTTAAAGGCGATGCCTTACAGTAGCTTCACGGGATTATCGGGTAATTTTTCTAAGCAGAATTTTCCGGGGAAATTCAATCGTTGGGTGTTCTATCGGATTTTTTCAACGGATCGGTGAAAATTTTGTCCAGCTGTTTTTATGCATTCTATACATAGCTAAAGGGATGCCAAATTTAACAAATTGAAAAAAATTTCTGCTGATACTGAAAATCTATTAAAATTGAGGGCAGATTAAATATCGACGTTCTTCCAAACTTCTTACCCACAATACTCGAGCCGTTCAGAAGCGAAAGTGACAAACTGCGCGAAATAAAATTTACTAAATTTATTTTATTCATGAAAAATTAAGCACATTCGTTGACACTAATATTGAAAGAACACGAAAAAGTAGAGTTAATCATTTTACCTTCTGAGTGGCTCAATCGCAGATCTATTAAAAATGACGGCAAACTGAGTACCAGCGTTCTTCCAAACTTTTTACCCACAATACTCGAGCCGTTCAGAAGCCAAAGTGACAAACTCCACGAAATAAAATTCATTAAATTCCTTTTTATTTATGAAAAACAAAGCACCAAGTATATTCGTCGACACCAAAATCGAAAGAAATGAAAAACTGGAGTCAGTCATTCCGCCTCTCGGCTCAATCGCAAATCCATTAAAAATGACAGCAGATTACACACCAACCTTCCTCCATTTTTACCGGTATTATATACGAGCTACCCAAATTTCGTACAAAATTATTCTCGAATCGTATCCAAGCAATTTCCCCCGAAAAATAATTACAGAACAGCCGTTCGAAAATAAGAATAATTCCAAGGTACCCTTGCGCAGAGTTATTTATGAAAGAATCACCGCGGTAATTGCATAATCCCGGTCTGTTACGCAACACGACCGCAACACGGTCGCCCCTAATAAACAGCAACGGCGAACCGGTTGCATTATGGAAGACGGTCATGAGCGTCCGGTATTCCGCGATATTTCAGAGGGGCCGACGACGACCAGCCACTG